CCGTTCTGTAACTGAGAGCTCTGCTGCCTTTTCACCTGCACTTCCAGCAGTGTTTCTGTGCCATCCTTGTTGGATTTACTGTGAAGGCCTAAAATGCAAGCTGCACGAGTGGCAAGGAGGTAGTTACTGTGGGGAGAAAGCAGACATCTCCCCGTGAAGACGCTTCCTCTCAGAACCTCCCAGTGCAGCTTGTCCTCTTGACAGATGAGTTGCTGGTTTTATTTTCTGTGAAACTCTGTGAACTGTGGCTCATTGATGCGGTGTGGTCCCTAAGGTGTGGTGTTTCCAGTGTCTCTAGAGCAACTGCTGGGGAACCATGTCAGGGTTGTTCACAAGATCCTGTTTTCTGATCGAATCACTGAATCACTATGATTGGAAAAGGCCTTTAAGATCATCAAGTCCAACCGTTATCTAACTCTGCCATGCCCACTTCTAAGCCATGTCCCTGAGCACCGTATCTAGATGGCTTTTCAATACATCCAAGGGTGATGATTCAAAGTTCTAGCTCCTCCAAGTTAGGAAAAGGTAAGAAAAATACATTGCCTTATTTTGGGATGACTTCACGTACAGCAGGCATGATTATCTGATGTGAAGTGAATCTTCAGTTGGAAAAGTTGTTGTTGAGCAGAGGCAGTGACTGACCTTGAGGGGCTGCCCCCGCTCCGGGCACTTTTCTCTGCTGTTCTCACAGCTGGGTGGGTGAAAAGTGTCTGGAAGCGCTGTAGTTTTAATGCCGTGTTTCCTGTTAACAGGGTCACCTTGTCCTCCACGGACTGCTACATCGTGCACGAGATCTACAACGGAGAGAACGCTCAGGACCAGTTTGAGTATGAGCTGGAGCAGGCCCTGGAAGCGCAGTACAAATACATAGTGATCGAGCCCACTCGCATCGGGGACGAGACGGCCCGCTGGATCACCGTCGGGAACTGCCTGCACAAGACGGCCGTGCTGGCGGGCACCACCTGCCTCTTCACCCCCCTGGCACTTCCAGTCGATTATTCTCACTACATCTCGCTGCCTGCTGGTGTGCTGAGCGTGGCCTGCTGCACCCTGTACGGGATCTCTTGGCAATTCGATCCCTGTTGCAAGTACCAAGTCGAGTACGACGCCTATAAACTTTCCCGCCTGCCCCTGCATACGCTCACCTCCTCCACTCCGGTGGTGCTGGTGAGGAAGGACGACCTGCACAGAAAGAGACTGCACAACACGATAGCACTCGCTGCCCTGGTGTACTGTGTAAAGAAGATCTACGAACTCTATGCCGTATGACTTCGGCGGGGAAGAGAGAAACCCACAAAGACAAGTGTATTAAGACTCCCACAGTAACATTTTGTTTTTCCTCTTTGAGAAGCGGTGGAGACTGGGAAGGATTTGGTTTAATAGAGCTGTTATTTTTAAAAATAACACATCACTGGTGCACCAAGGTTTTTCAGTTCTTCGTTACACTTAAGATGTGGATGTGTGGTGACTTGAGAGCTGTATGTTAGGCCGTGGGAGTCCGATCCAGCAGCAGAATGTCGGTGAAAGCAAGCGATAGAAAGAGAGGGTGTGAGAGCTCTTCTTTTTTTTTTTTTTCTGAAACATTTAAGTATATTGTTTAATTGTATTACACAGAACCAGCCAGAATTATCATTGACCATTAAAGGATGAGAATTTCAAATGCTTTTGCTCTCTTGTTACTGTTCTCCTAGTTCCCTTTTACAGTGTGCTTCCAGGGGCTGGAGGCTTTGCAGTGAGAACTCCAGTGGTGATAATTCTTTCTGCGTGCTCACACGGACCTGATGTTCTTCTTGGCTGTTGCACATGGCAGCAGAGTCCACATTGCTGCACAGCTGCCATCTGTTGAAGGAATAGCTGTAGTGTTGCTTTCCTTCTTACTTGACTGGTTGCCTCTCTCAGAAGAGGGCTTACTTGTTACCCCAGTGTTTATAGCTTAAACATCGATGGTTGAGGGTAAGGGTTTCCAAATCCTCTGCTCCCCACCACCTCCAGCTGTGATTTCTCTGCACACTGGAGGTAACGCTGTAATGTTCCAGCTACAAATGCATCCTGCTCAGTTCCTGTATTCCACTGCTCTTGCTTGAAACACGCTGCTGGAGCTGCCTGGAGCTGCTGCCAGGCATCCACGGGATTGCATCTTGTAACTGTGCTATCTTGAATGTTAGAATTCAGTCTTGTGCATTAATTCATCCTTTGGCTCAAAACTGTCAAAATCTTGTTCTTAGAATGAGAAGTCTTTACAGTTTTGCAAGATCTGCCAGTTACTTGTAAAAGAGAGAGGCTCGCTTTCTATCATCTCCTCCTCCCAGCTGGAAAACAGGAGCGGCTTGTGCTTGCAAGGCCAGCTTAGCACAGCTTCAAAGGTTATGATCTGAAGGCAAGAGCAAAGCCCTGTAATAAAAACTGCCTGCACGCAGGTGTGCCGCTCGCTGCAGTGGTAGCTGTGGGCCGGCCACAGCTGCAGCACCGAGCACTGACCTTGGGAGGGAGTCTCGTGAGGTCGGAAACCGAATTGGGTACTTCTATCTTTATCTTTCCAAAGTGCACCAGCAGGCACCAAGAACTCTCCCTCAGCTCCAGGCTGCAGCAGCTTTTCTGGCTGCGGTTCCAACTCGGGCTTTTCTGCTGATGCAGCTTTTGTAGGAGCGGGGCGCGCGGCCCAGTCGCGTGTGCGCGCTGGGTAAACGGGGTTCGCTGGGAGTTGTGGGCAGCCACCCACGCAGGCTGGCACCGGGGCTGCAGGAAACTGGTGGCATCCCAACGTTTCTAGGTGGCAGCAGTCGTTTGCCCCTCTTGCTGGTACAGTGGCAGAGTAGTGTCTCTCTCCAAGGTTAAAAGAAGCCGGGGTCCAGAGCGTCCCTATTTATAGCCACCATGTACAGTTGCCTTGGCACAGAGCAGGGGAAGAAATGCAGCCACTTCATCTCGCTGCGGTTGGGCCAGGGCTGCTGGGCTGGCTGCCTTGCAGGTCCTGACGTCGTTTGTTCCTACAGTCCCGTCTAATGGGTCAATTTTAAACCAGCGGCAGATCTGCCATAGCTGATACGTCATTTATTGCTGCAGCAGGCCCTGAAATATTCTCGTGCCAGCCACACCCAAGACCTTCCTGCTATTTTTTCAATCGATGCAAATTAATTATCAGGGCTGTCAGTTCCTTTCCTTCACCAGACCTCTGCCATTCTGGCACTTTATTCCCTTGCCTGGAGTGATGGCTGTGGCAGAAGGACAAACCCTTGGTAGGCTCCCTGAACATACGGCTTGCATCAAAGGCTCTGGAGTTAAAAATGAGCAAGTTTTCCTGTGGATTTATTGCAAGAGGAAAGGTGGAAAGTCGGCTTTGCTGTCACACAGGTAGGCCTGTTTTAAAAACACTCTTCTGAGGTGCAGAGGACATAGATGGGGTGTGTAGGAGCTTGTTTTCCAATAAATATTAGTGATAATCTAGCTAAAATGCTTGGTGAGGTCCTGGCTATGAGTAAGTGCTGTAACTATGCAAAATGACCAGGGAGAATGAGAGGGATGCTGAGGGCTGTGTGTTCCACTGTGGGATAAGTCTCCCTTTCAAAAGCCCTGCACTCTTTGCTGCTCATCCTGGCTGCTCTGGAGCTGCTCTGAACTGCAGTGTGCTGCATTCCTCTGTCAGAGAGGGAATTTGCTTTCAAAGGGGAATGTGTGCACTCTCAATAAGCTCTGACTCGGAGCTGTGGTTCAAACAGTAACCTCAGTGACTCCCCACACACCATTTTCTTTCCTCAGGCTGATGTGTTGCACCACTCAACACCCCAGATGGTAACAGATGCAAAGTGGTCCCTCCTGGGTAGCTGTGGCCTGAACCACCACGAGACGGAGCAGCTGGACAAGGCTGGCAGGAGTGCTGTATTTGGCCAAGAAATGGAGGACCTGAACATGCAAAACATGAAAGGAAAAGCACAGATAACGCTAAAGAAACTCTGCCTCTGGAAAGGGAGAGAAGGTAATGCCTTGGTTTCCTATTTTAACAGCAAAAAAAGATACATACACTTGAAAGCTTCCAGTTGTCATTTCAACTGTGATCATTAAACAGGTCCTGGTCATCATCCAGGATGGATTCCCAGAGATCATTTATAAATGTGTAGTGGTCAAGAAAAGGCTTTTTGAAGGAGGTGGTGGTGCTGAGCCTGCACACCTGTATCAGTTTTCATGTGCCTAATCCTCTGTGTGGAGTCGTGCTGTAAGCTGGCAGGCGATGCACAGAGGCTGGAGTGAAGTCTGTTGGTCTGCAACTATGACTGGTACAACAGCACCTTGCAAGAATGGAAGAAAATAAACCCCAAACCCTCCTGCTTTCCTTTCCTCTAATGATATCTGTGAGCTGAAGTAGAACAAAGGATGAATTTCATAGCAACGTGATTTATTTGTCATCAGATGGGCGCTCACAGGCAGGACATACAAGGCGGGACGCGTGCAGAACGCTGGGCAGTGCGTGGAGGCGGCAGCAGGGGTCTGGAGCTTGGTTCCTGCTGGTAGCTTTAGTTCAACAAGAAGTTAAAAAAGAGTCTTTCTGTCTTTACTGAGCTTGCTCTGTGCAGCTGCTGCTTTTTCCTAGTGGTGCTGGTATCCCTCACAGCATGAGGAAAATGGGTGAAGAGTGTGGCACTCCCTCAGGCTGTCAGACTCCCTCAAGCCTGTGGTATCTGAACAGGCAAGCATCATCCCCCCACTGGATGTGATCCTAATTACCATCCATAATTACTTTAAAACAGATGAGAACTAGGAGTCTGTCTCCTGTACTGTTTACCCTACACAGATTCCCCTGTGCTTGCCAGGAGACAGCGAGCCTGGCATCTACAGAATCAAACCCACTCTGTGCTCCACGCCAGCAGCTGGGCCGGGCGTGCTGCTCTCTGCTGCGTGGCACTGGCACACAGCACCGTGCCTGGCTGAGCTGGTTTTGATCTGGTCAGTGCTTCCCCTGCATTAACCTGTGCTGGGGTTAATGCTGTGCTACTGGGTACAGAGTTAAATGTCCCTGTACCTCAGTAAGGCATGATGCAGACAAATAATTGCCAAATAAAGCTTACAATTTACATCAGTTACTTCTTTAAAAGTGGCACTGGACTTAATATGATTTGGCAAGTTAACGAGCAGAGGCTCTGTAGTTTTCCACTTCAAGCAACATGTTCTGGATGCAATTGGCAGGAGTGGGAAGGAGACACTGATCACAGCTGAGGGCTGTAGTTCATGGGGCCTATGGGATGGGGAAAGCTTAAATCTGCTCGTGTGGAGGCTTGTGGGGTTTATTTGAGGCCGGCCAGCAAAACTGAGCATGCCTGGAGTGGAGTGAGGTGAGTTGTGGTGCTGCCTTCCAGCTCATGGGCCTCCCCTGCTGCAAAGTGCTGCAGCCCTTGAGTCTCCCTCCCCTGCAGCCTCAGCTCGCCCCTTTGTCCAAGCACCTTTCTTCAGGTGAGGTTTAGGTGCCGTTTTCCAGCCCGTGAGCCTACCCTGATGTGGGGGAAACCACTTCCCGCTCTCCACGCAATGGTAAATTGCAGCATTCTGAAGGGTTTTTCCTGCAGAAGCACCTCCAGTGATGTCCCAGCTGAACCGAAC